TTTTATTAACCAGTCTATATTTTACGACAACAAGTAATGCAGATATGATTCCAGAAAAGAACCAAAAAGGGAAAAAGAAGAATTAGAGAAGCAAAAGACTTTTGAGGATATGATGTAGCGGCAGGCAGTGCAAGAACTGATCAGTCGATGTGTAACCCCATGCTTCAGTAAGCATTTGAACCTGAAATTGAGATTATGCTACATAATCAATCACAAACAAGCTTATATCACAATAAAGAAAAAAAAAAGAGGAAAAAGAAAAGTCAAGAAAAAAAGGTCGAGCATCAAGTATTAGATTTAAACTTGACATGGCACCACGCCAAATCATTAAACTGAGAGCTGCAGTAAAAGAGCTGTACAAAAATAAAAATAAAAATAAAATAAAATAATCTGTGAAAAAGAGCAAATTGTGATGAAGTATATTGCATCGTCTTAATTGCTTAAGAGGAAAATAGTACACAAGCAAGTACCTGTGCTAAGACACCTTTATGTGTGTGCACAACTCCTTTCGGTTTTCCCGTAGTGCCACTTGTATATATGATTAATGCCGGGTCATCTCCTATGTATTAATATTTAATTATCAATCATATAAACAGTAACAGATTAATAAATAGCAGCAAAAAAAATTATATATAATTAAGGCAACAACACACACCTCTTGTCTCCAGAGAACTTTCAATTTTATCAGTTTCTCCATTTTTCATGGGATCAATCTCATTGGACTTTGCCACTATGTCTGGAACAGGGGCAAGTAGGGATAATAGAGAAGAAGTCTTAGCCGCAACAGCTTTCATTATTTCAAGATGATCCTCAGTACTCAAAATCATTGCAATATCCTATTTCAAAAATCAGACCTTTTAATTATTAATGCATTAGAAATGTTGCAGGTTTGCTGCTCTGTTAAATATGAGCAAATGAAATAAAGCATCATTTTAAATATGAGCAAATGAAACAAAAAAATAGAGTCAACAAATTTATATGCTCCACATCATTTTCATAAAGCATTTGCAGTTAGTTTTGTTCTAAACTAGATAAAAAAAATGAAATAAAAGGCAACTTTAAGCTACAAACCGAATCATTCATGACGTGCAGTAATTCGGCCTCTGGGTAGCTAAGTGCAAGAGGAACAGCAACACATCCGCTGAACCATGTTCCAAGTACTCCGGCAACAAATTCCGGCGAAGGTCTAGCTACAATCCCTATCCTAGCTCCACTAGGATATTTATTCTCTCCAATTCCATTTACCTACAAAAATACAAATTTAATTGACATTATTACGTTTACTCAACAACTGTATTTCTTGATCCAATGTTCAACGATACAAAAACGATCAAGAGAGAGAAAAGATCGAGATTTTTCACCATTTTGAAACAAGTAAAATGAGTTGTGTATATTTATAGTTTAATGACCTGAAATACATAAGATGGGAAAAATTGCGACTTACGGATTTTAAATTAGAACCATTTAACAAGTCGGAGATCCTCTTAGCAGATAATATCAGCTGATGATAACTGTAACTTTTTTTATCAGCTCTTATTGCAATACTCTCTGGAAATGTGGAACCTCTGGTAGCAACCGTCTTGCCAAGTTCCATAAGTAAGCTATTATTACGTGTATCTGTAAATTGAGAGATGAAAAAGAGAGTCAAACATCATGAAATTCATAAGTGATATTAGCATAAATACTAACCCCACCTCCTCTCTAAGTCTGATAATGTAGAGTGCATAAACAATGGCTTTTACATGCTAAAGAAAGAATCTGCTAGTAGTACATGAAGAACAAAACCATGCTCATCTCAAATATAAACATATACAAGGCCAACACAATTTTTGAAAAAAAATATTGAATTGTTAACTTGATATTTAAACGCTTTAAGATATAAAGGGAAACACAAACACACACACCTCAATGCAGTTCTTGAGAACAAGCTCAATATGTTTTGCTAAACCATACATATTAACTTTCGACTTAAATTGCTCCTGTTAACAGTACCTATGAATTGGTACAACAAGAGATCATATCCAATTTATTGCGTTTGTTTAGCCCATCTTGAAGTTCTCCCATACTCTAAACTAGCAGGACCATACAATCAAGAACCTTTAGATCATTCGAATCTCCACAAATCAAGACATGTCAATTAATCTGAACTTATAGAATCAAAGCTACTCAATTCCACACGTCCAAACAGAATGCAACAATTTCCTCATAATCATCAAAAAGACTGCAGATACCAAATTCAATTGAGCTTCATTTACAACCCAACTAAACTCCTCACACCATCAAAGCACACAAAAATAATCAAGGGCCAAGGCCCATTAAAAATCCCAACTCAAGATTCTGACTTTTGTGCAATCAAATATTTAATAAGAGAAGAAGAGCAATTTACCAGTAGAACAAGACAGCGACTGATGAGAGGAGCAAAAGATTCGAGCTTTATGCGATGAATTCACAGAAAAACAAGATTTCAAGGATCTAAAGCCCGAGTACGAAGAACAAATAAAATCTTTACGACAAGGGCAGGAATTGTAAAATGGGAGGACCCTGAGTCTGAGCATGTGGTTGTTGGTCCTAAATACGCTCATGCGTAATTAGGTGGCCTGAAAATTGCGATTATTAAATATCTGAAAGGAAATAGTTTAATGCAAAGTTATGGTGGCCCACTGCGTTTCTTGGCGACTGCGTGGCGTTCTTGATTACGGCTTTTTTGTGCTCTCTCATTCAATGTTGTGAAGGGTAGGTTTGAGGGCTTTGAAATTTGACAGTTGGGGTGCTCATGGGGTTGTGGTGTTGGTGAAAAATTGAAGGGCTGTCAGCAAAAGTTGGTATTTTTTATCATTCATGTGATAACTGGTAAATTGGTTCAATCTGCAGTGGCGATGAGGATGGCAGTCATTTATGAAGGGAAAAAAAGTTTGAGTTTTATATTCGGATATTTTAAATTGGGGAAAAATTAATCTTAGTACCAAACNCTAGTATTCAACATATGCATTTGCACATATATAAATAAAGTATTGTGAGTTATTTGTATGTATATAAGATTAATGATTTTTCTTGTATTTTTTTGTAGGCCAAAATTACAATTAAAGAAGTTGGAATATTTATTTTTTTAAATTACGTTTATCATATTGGATGTAATGTATATTTTGGTATGTATTTTTTTTGTGAATTATTTATTATTTATTTAAGAATTTCAAATACATTTTTTTTAGTCAAAAGAAGTTAATTTAAATGTAACTACGACAATAACATCTAATCACGTTAAATAGTCCACACATTATATGGTCAGCTGTAAATAAATTAAAAGTTTAAAATAATTTTTTTAATCTTGAAGTGATTAGTGTGTTAATTATCTAATAATTAAATGAGAGGTTAAATAAATAAAAAATAACGGTTTTAGAGGGAAAAAATTATATTGCTACATAGATATAATTTAACAATTTTATTAAATGCTCATGAACCAGCAATTATATATATATATATATATATATATATATATATATATAGATGCATAATTTGTTGAAATCTGATGCGGTGAGAGGCAGCGACCATTAGATTTTAACGGTTTTGGACCAAATTAATCAATTTTTTGAACATTGACACCATTAATGATTAAATTGAATACACTAAAAAGGAGTCAAATCAAAATTTTCGAAATGGTATATATGATTTGTTGAAATCCATCATTAGAGACAACAGTGGGTGTGGCAGAAGTGGCAACCATGAGATTTAAATAATTTTGGACCAAATGCATAACTTTTTAAATGTCAAAACCAATATTGATTAAGTTGAAACCTTGTAAGAAGGTATATCTGATAGGTCGAAGTAAGTCTTGTGCCTTGAGTGACACAACCACCTCATACAGTGACCCAATCCACTGTTCTGCCCTCCTCTGCACCAACTCAAGAGAGTCTTCAGGTGTTAGCACATCTGTATCTGAGAGAGACGATGGCTCTGAAGAGGATAGTGGCACCAACTTCTCCTCCTCTGACTCCCCTCACGTTGAGCCAGTGAGGGTTGAGAAGGATACTTTTGACCCCGACTTTGTTGACTTTATTGCTCTACTCGGCGGAAGCGCAAGAAGAAAGATCCAATGTTGAGGTCCTGCAAGAACCTGAATATGATCCTCATGATCTCACCAATGCTTTCTCCAACCGTCTTTATTCTGAGTGAAGTTAACTTTCATTGTGAGCGTGTTGTGATTAGTAAAAAGTTCCTTGACTTTGGCATACTTGTTTGATTAAGAGTGTGGGTCCCTCTGTTATTGATTTTGGTCCTTTCTGCTCTCAAATTGTCTGTGAGGTTTATGCTTACTTGACCCCCTCGGTGTTTGAACAAGATAAAGATAACCCTCGTTTTTGAGAAACTTTTCCTTGGCACTGCGCATGACTTTTCTACTCCCAAGGCCAGTCATGAGTTGCCTCCTAAAGATGTTATTGCTCGTTTTGATGAGTTCTTCTCATCAGATGCAATCCTGGGACAAGCTGGTCGAGGAAGTTGTTGTAGAACACACTTATATCAAGGCTCGCACGCGCCTGATTTGTCACCACTACACATGCCATATTCGTCTTACGGAAAGAGTTTACTTAAATCTTTCCGTTTTTCAAACTGTAATTTATTTTCAGCTCTATGAAATTTTTTTATTTAGTTTATTTGTAAGATCTAAAAAATATAATTCAATTCGTATGATTCCCGTGTAATTCAACACTCTCATTTAACAATTAAAATTTATAAATTCTACTAAACATTCCTCGAAAGTCAACAAATCTTTTATTATTATTTTTTTCTGTTTCATTTTCTAATATCTAGTGGGAAAGAGGAGGGGACCCTTGACATGATTATATATCTTGAAATCATGTCAATGTGAAGTCAATATGAATTAGAGTTTGTTATTGTTGCAACTTTCACTTAATTATGACATTAGTGCCAGCCAAGTTGATTTGGCTTTGCTAGTTAATTATTCTTAGACTAATTATCCATTGATTTTGTTCAAGTTTTTCCAGGTCGTATGATCGCTCATGTAACAGAAAAATATCAAGGGTCAGGTTGTCATATAAAGAAAAAAAAAATGATATTTTACAAATATAAGTTTTATCTTAAATTAAGAAAAAATAAATATGACTGATCAATCCTGTCTAACCATCAATATACATAAGATCAACAATTATATTGTTCCAAATTAAGAAAATAAAATAAAAGGTTTAAGGTAAACGTTAACTTCTTGTCATCAAACCAAGAATACAAAAAAATTATACAAACACAAGCAGCATATCACATAGCACACCACAAAGCAAGTATTTATTTCAAGACAAAAACTGAACAAAAGATTACATCTTTAATAGTCTACCCGCTCTCCCTAACCCTTCAAATAAGCAACAAAACCCGAACATTGAAGCTTATGAGCATGTCGATATATAGAATGGACACATACAAATTCTCAACTCATTGAGAAAGCCATTTTCTCCACCAAGAAGTTGCTTGAGAAGAAGATGGCATGAGGAGATCCAACATAGTCTCCTTCTCCTTTGGTGTTAGTGGGACCCCTCTCACGAGGTTTAAGGCCATTATGTGCACGTTCGTTTTCCGCTTGTACCTTTTGTACGCCCACACACCTCCTGCAGTACCTGCAAACACAAGCTGCTTTTCGCATTTTATGTTAGTGCCTCATACTATCCATGAGATTCATATTGTTTGCAAAAAAACTCAAATTATTGTTGACAATTACAATTACCCCATAAGGACTCAAAATGAGTTTTTCACTATGGTTAATTTTAAAAAATGCAGTATGGTTAGTTGTTAGTGGTATTTTTAGTTTATATTAAAATAATATTTAAAATAAAATAATTAAAGTTGATTTGATATAAAAAGTGGGAGAGAGATGATGTGAAGTGATGGTTAGTTAAAATTATGTGAGTGGATGAATAGTGAATTAAAGTTGATGTGATGTGTAAGAATGATTGGTTTGTATTATTTAATTATATTAGTAATATTAAATATAGTGAGGTTGAGTTAAAGTTAAGTTAAATTTTGAGTATGAATTAAATTTGAATGAGATAATTGGTAAACAATCACACCCATAATAACTGAGTGTGAGCTTTTTTATACTGACCGGGGACAGCCACAGAGCTGCAGTTTGCATGTCGAACTTTGGCGTGTAAAGCACGCTCTCGCCAAAATCATCCTCCAGCTTCTTGAAGATTTCTTTGTCACTTTTACCCGACCGAATTTCGTCACGTATTAACTTTGGCAGAAAAAACGCGAGAAAATTAGCTGACGCTCACTGAATGCATATGTCTGAGCTAGTTGTGGGTGAAAGGAAATAATGACTGAATAAAGGAAAACAGCATTTGATTAATCAATAAAAAGAAAATGGGAAGCGAAAACTGGAAAAGTAGAAACAAAGAACCTCGACCATACACCTAATAGCTCACTTGTTATTCAAATTAGACAAGAAAATGTCAGCATAGCGCAAAAATCTTTACGCATGAGATTTCATCCTATTACCACCACAACAAGAAAAGAGAAAACAGATCAGGATATCTCGCAAAATTAAGAATTACAAAGTCCTCTAAACAGCATGTATTCTCAATGTTTTGTACTCTCAAAAGAGAACCCCTCTTCACAGTTGGTTTCTGAAGAAAACAGAGCTTTAATGGAATTAGTGTACCTTTTATGATCATCCCGAAATGATACATACGTTAAGATCCTCACCTAATTGTGGTGATTCAAAATACATACAGGATCTAAGAAAAGAGAGGCTGACTCAAGACTTAAAAATCACCATTTTCCCATGTCATAGGATTTTCTAACAGAAAAATCACTCCAAGGGCATGAGAATACATATAAAAATAAAAGATTATAATAGAAAAGAATCAGTATGAAAGGTACCAAAAAAAAAAAATAATAAGGAACCAATACCTTACGAAGGAGAATAGCAATGTCAGCTTGTGAATCCTCAATGGACTGACTACCACACTCAGTACACCTCACATTGTGGCTTATATTTCTTGCTCGAGTCTCCACTAGCCGCTCGGCCATCACCTCATCCTCTGTCCTCTCCATCGGACCTGATTTCACCTTTTAAGTCTTTCAAATCAATTTTTGATGAACCAACTGAGAAGCTAGATCATATGCAACGAAGTAAAGATAGAGCATTTCAAAGCGTGCAAAAACCAACAGGCCATGATAACGGTGTTCCAAAATTTCAGCTAGGCATTTTATCAAACAGTAAGCATGCTCACATGGATTACGGCCATTTCACGTGTTTCATTGAGAAATTTGAACGAGCAATGTTGTAAAGATTCCATTTTTATGTTCTTTGTTTGATCACATATCATAAAGACGAAGCACAACAAGTCCGTTCGACAAGATTTAACTTGGTGCAGGCTAGATAATAAACACCTCAAACCTTGAAGGGGCGAAATAAGAAAATCAAAGTGATGGGTGTTGACGATGATGTTTACAAATCACCATCCAAAATCTCGTTCATGCCTTTCAAATTCGAGGTTTCGAATAAAAGCACGTGAAACTTTAAAACAACGAGACAGAGAAAGAGTGAGACCTGTCAGAGAACAAAGACGAACTGAAAATGGTCGCAAATCTGTGTCGTTAAAAGTGCAAGTCTGGGGTTTTGTGATTCTTTTGAAATTTGGGCCGCCGGCCTGCTAATGGTGCAGATTGTAAATTATAATAAAATTTTGGGACATTTATATGTGTGCCGGCCGTTTTTTAAAATATTGTACATGTACGAGACATGCAAATTATTTAGCATTAGTACGAAATATTGTGCAAATAACTAGAAAAGGGCTGAAATCAGCTTACCAAAATAAATACGAAATATCCCTTGATTTTCGTAACTGATTGCAATAAAAAATTAAGAAATAAAATACATTCACAAACATGGAAAGACGGTTTTAAGAATCAATTAATTAAGCAATAACACTTTTTACGAGAGTTATACTAGAGTCAGAATTTCGCCGTCGGGTAAAACCTCGCCCCCACGTCTTTGAGAGCTAGAATGTATTTTATGGTATATAATATGTATAATATGTATATTTTACGGCATCATATACATTTTTCTATATACACTTTTTTTTTCGGAATACATGTCTATAATAGGTAGTCATGTGTTAGATACAATTTATAGGCGTGTTGTATAACTTTGATATATATTGTATACACCCGTAACATGTACCCGAAACGTATAATTTTTCATACTCGAAACATATAATGAAAAAATATTGTGTATACCTACTACATATAGTATATGTTAGTATATATTTGTATACGTTGCAATGAAAAACATGTCTTTCAAAAAAAAAATTATGTCTTCTAATTCACGCGGCTGTCCAGATCGGTATATGTTGCGTTTATGTTAGTATATATTCAGTATATGTTGCAATGAAAAAAATGTCTTTCATGAAAATTTTATGTCTTTTTTTTTTTGTAAGTTTAACGTTAATTGAAACGTACGTGAATTGATAGTTTTTTCATTAATGATATATGTGTTGTTTTCACCAAAAAAAATCTTTTAATATACCAAACATAAACTAATTTGTCAATAACTAATATACCAAACATAAACTAATTTGTACAGAAAATATACTGAGTATAAACCATATATATACAAAAACATCTTCTAATATAATGAACATATACCCCCTATACACACAACATATACTGAACAATTTACAAAAAACTCTTCTAATATACTGAACATATACTCCCATATACTTTACATATACTGTACATATACCCCAAAATAAATCAAACAAAAAAAATTCTCAAAAAAGCTGTCATGATTTTCTTCTTCTTCACGGCCTCGGGTGTTTTGACATCGCTCAGACTCTTCGTCTTCTTCTTCGCTAATTTCAATTTCAAACTTGAACTAATTAATATCTACGAATCAAGAAAATAATTTAGAAATCAAGCAAAACAACATAAACATCGAGTTAGAGCCTGGAGTTTATGCAATTCATAGACATTGACCTATATGCATCCGTTATAACCTCCTTCTGCTTCTTCAAATGCCTAGTAATTAGTACACAAGACAAAAAAAAAAAAAAAAAAATTACCAAACTNAATAAAAAAAAAACCAAACTTGAATCTTAATATTATCGAACAAAACAACAACAATGGAGGAAAACGAAAACGAAATTACCAGACTTGAAGTTTTTCTAATCCCTCAATAGCTCTCTCATGGGATCCCCTTCGCATCACATTCAATTCAGGAAAAAAGATAAAAGGAAAACAAAAATAAACACTGCAAATCCATGGCGAGGGTGTTGGGATGAAGCCGCTGCCGTCCCTAAGCCTCGATCGATTCCGAGCCATGGTGAAGGAAAGAGAGGAAAAACTTAGGGATTTTAATGGTGGGATCGTTTTGCCCTTGAGCACGGATGAAATTGTGCAAATTTATGAGATTGTTTTGTCTGAGCTCACAGTTAATTCGAAGGCTATCATCACTGGGGGAGGAGAACAGCGGCGGATCTGTAGAAGAAGACGAAGATGATGAGGGAGAGAGGGAGAGAGAAGAAGTAGAATAGATAGGAGAGAGAGAAAGCGTGATAATAATAGATCCCATAAATCTGTTTTTACCATAATTACAAATAATTATGTGTTGATCAATAATCTAGTATGTTTGTAAATAAAAATCATAGTTTTAGTTAATTTGCAAATAAATATATATGAGTTGTAAATATATAATAAAAATATTAATGTGTAGTGGAGGATGTAATTTCCTCTAAAATTTTCGTAATATATATTTCAAAATTATTTTAAAAATAATATAATTGGACCATTTCTCAGTTTTAATTTTGCTTTATTCCATCGTACTAATCATATATCAATTATAGAATTATGAAATGAGTAAAAGAATAATAATTTAGTTCTAATGTTATTATATTTTTTTCGTTATTCTGTACTCATTAGTTGAACAATTATATTTTAAAAATAATATAATTGGTTCCCATAATATCCAGTTTAAAACGACAGTATCCATAACAATGTTGAATTGAACTTGCCAACATTCTGGTAATTATCATATTTGATAATGTAAATTAGACATGCAAAAGACGGAGTTCTCAATTATTATTATTTTTGTCTGTATCAATAGGAAATCCATTGACTTCTCAAATTGAAATTTAAGGTCGGAGTTGAAACACATTTATTACATTTCCAGACAGAAACAGTTAACCAAACAGATATGCCATTGATATGGGGAAATTTCTCTCCAGAATACCCAATACACTTCATAGCTATCTCAGTTTTACCTGATCCTAAGAGGTTTTTTAGGCAGTTGTATATATATTTTCACGAAGAGATACAAATAAAATTAGCCAAACAGCACATGGCTAAGAACAACTCTTTGTATCGGCTCTGTAACATTTATCATGAACCCTATTCGACTAAGGCACACTAAATATACGTAAAATGGAGGCTAAAAAATGAATGCAACCACAGAAAATGGAGGGTTGTATTCAGCATGGCACCAAAATTGTGATATTTTACACCATTTTGGCAAGTCCCGTATATAGCAATGCCATCGCCATATACTATGCTAATGGAGAATTACGATATGCTAATGGCCTTTGCTGTCATTGTCCCCCTGCTTAACCAAAAATATAAACCAAATCTTTTGAGTGAAAAAAAAAAAAAAATCATAATCAGGTAATGCAGAAACTGAGAATAGAAAGTTATTTATTAAAAGTCTACTCAAATTTGGGAATCCTCACTAGAAATAGTGATTGCCATTTCAGACTTGAGTATTTGACAAAGGTTTGCATTTTATACAAAATCTATTTTTCCAAGGATAGGTTATCTACTTTTTCACAGACAAAAAGGTACTTTATTTATTTATTTATTTATTTATTTATTTATTTATTTATTTATTTTGCCAGCAACAAACTACAAGACGAACTTCAAAAGTCAACGAACAGAAAAACGTACCCGGTGGGACAATCTTGCCTGAAATGCCCCTAATCAGCAGGAAGAAGTGCCATCTCAATATCTTGTAGCGATCTTCCTTTGGTTTCAATAACATGCCTCTTTACAAACACCACAGACATCAAGCAAAAGGTTGCAAATATGGAGTACAGGATTTTGGGGCCCAGCAGCTCCAGCATACGAAGAAATAATAAGCCCACGAAAAAATTAATCACCTGATCACAGAAATAATTGTGAGACCCCATTTATATGTGTGTGTGTGTGTGTGTGTGTGTGTGTGAGAGAGAGAGAGAGAGAGTAGAAATTCCTATACAATGAAAACAGAACAACTACAGCCAATAGAAAAGCGAAAATTCAGATAAAACATTAGAATGGCATGTCCAATTACCCAATGTACAGCCATGCAAAAAGCCATTGCTTTAGCCCTAATCCGGCTAGGGAATATCTCTGATAGGAGGAGACTAGGAACAGGCCCAGCACCCAAGGCAAATGTCAAAACAAACCTATACCAATGCAAGGAATAATCATCAGATCACTGCTCATCCACCTAAATAAAGTCTCGAATATATAGATGGGCAAAACTATGAAGATTACAAATAAAACATAACTTCAGGAAGAGATACTAAATTACGGATGGTTTTCCTGGTCTAATTATATTATCATATGAAGTATACGACATATTAACCAAGAATATGAACTTATAGCTACTATTTTCTAACAAGTGAGAAACTTACATTAGCATCCCTCCAACAGAAAGGTATAAATTTTCAGTGTCGGACAAGATATCACTAGCCCCAATAACTTGAAATCCCATAGCCACTGCCTGAACCAAAAAGAACAAACAAGATCCCAATCAAAATATTGAAAAGGTATTCCGAAAGTTAAATTCATAAATAACCAGCCCCCGAGTGATCTATACACTTCCAATTTCAATAGTTCAAGATATGCTGTTCTTTTCAATCTTGCAATAAAAATATGGGGTAACATAAATTATACTCACCATGCCCAAGAAACTCCAAACAAGAAGTAGCTTCCTTCCTAATTTATCCATCAGAATCATAGCCACAACAGACCCTAAAAGAATAGCAATTAACAAGCTATAAACAAAAGTGGAAAACGAAGAAAAAAATGTAAAAGACAAAATTTGAAAAGAAAAAGGAACTGAAGAGAGAATATATTTTGCATTATTGCAGCTTTTACCTGCTATGTTCACTATTCCGACACATAAGTTCCCAATATCAGAAGGGACTCCAGCTCTATTAAAGACAGTTGAAGAGAAATAAAATACAGCATTTATGCCCGATAGCTGTTGTAATGCAAATAAAGCTGACCCAATGAAGACCACTGACAAAACAAAGTAATAACATAACCAATTCAGAACAAGGAATAATTTATGACAAATTGTAAGACTAAGTGATCCAAAATAACATCTAATGAGCATTATGAGTTTGCAATTTATTGAACATCGTCAGTCAAAAGGGAAACTAACAACCTACCTCTAAAGTGACGACCATGGAGTAATTCTGAAAATTTGACTACATCCACGTCATCCCCTCTATCTGATTTTGATAATTCTGCCATTGCAGATTTAACATGTGATGCCCCCATAAGCCTCTCGAGTTCCTCTTCAGTTTGAGAAATTTTTCCCCGCTGAACCAATTAATATTACTCTAATTGAGTTGAGGAAAGGGAAACCAAGCCAATTCATGATGACCAATTACGGACAATTCCAAACAAAAACAAAATGACAACAGTTCTATCATTATAAATTCAACCAATAGAAATTTTCATAAAATACAATGCATGCAGGTTGCAAGCTAAGAATTTAATAGCAAGTAAAGACATTTGAAACGTTTATGAGCTACAAATGGACAAGTCAAGATAAACTGGCTACATCTAGCATCAATCCAAATGCCTCACAATACAAACTATTAATGCCTTGTCCACAACGAAGGAAATAGGAATAGAACCCGAAGCAACGGTGGAAAAGTAAGAAGCACCTTGAAAAGCCAATGTGGAGACTCCGTGGAGAACTCCATTAAGAAAGCCAGTAATGTAGCAGGAATAGCAGATACCCAAAAACAAACTCTCCACCTACAAGAACCATTCAATAACCAATGTACGATGCTTCAACAAAGGATGTTGGGAATCCCTCTAACGACTATCCACAACAAAAGCAAGTTTTAGCTCGTGCAACATGGTAAAAGTTTATTTGCAAGCACATTATTTAATTATGGTTCATTTACGTAGTCGGAGGCTGAAAACATCACATATTGTACTAAACTACTAATTCCTCATGTCAAGCCACTCACCAGCCAGGAACATTTTTGGCTGGAATCCCTGTGACTAGGGCTGTCATAAGTCCAAGACATGTTGCAATCTGGGTGAAGCTCCCATACGTTCCCCTCACAAAAGCTGGTGAAACCTGCTCAAGAGAACAAATGACGCATAAGCGAGTAGTTCCCACGAAAAAAAAAAAAAAACGAGGGGGTGCTACCATAGTTTATACCTCTGACACGTAGAGAGCAGCAACAGGAGGACCAAGACCCATTCCTGTTCCAACAAAGAACCTACCGAGAAGCATGACCTCCAGACTACTTGTGGTGGCACTGTTAGTTTAGTAAAGATATTTCATGTTAAAAAATCATAGGCAGAGAAGGTTATAAACACGAGAAAGTTGTGATATGTTCCTGTTGCTGTTTGTGGTTTAAGTTCAAATAATTTTGTCAATAGAAAATGGAATGAAAAATGAGACAGTTACAAACCTATCTTGAGGTTAACTATTCAAGAAAAGCAAAGGAAAAAATAAAGTCCCAAACATTTTAAAAATACCAATCAAGTTCCTTTTTTTATTTTAATTAAAAAAAAAAAAAAAATCACCTTTCTTTTCCCTTCTGTTATAAGGCTAAACCTCAGAGTAAGTTTTCTGAATCAACTATTTCTCAAATCTGGAAACGAGATTGTTTACCTCATGGAAGCCCCAATGATCATAGGTAAAGCACATAACTGGAACGCTCTCCTACGACCAAGGCCATCAGATATCCAACCACTAAATATGGAGCCAAGAAATGCACCACCTAAACATGTACTCACGACCAAACCTTAATTCATAACAAAACCGGCTCGTCATTCAAAGTTTCAGTAAACCTCCACATAAAAAACTAATATTACTACATCAAAAGGCAGAGGAGCACCTTCAGCCATAGTACTTCCACTGAAGCCTAAGTCTATAGAAATGCTTTCTAGAGTGTCATTAACAACCCTGAATAGCATAATAAATTTCGTAAAGTTGTTAATATTCTCAAGTTAAAGATAATCCAAAAGGAATACACTTCAAGGAGATTAGAACAAACCCAAGATGATAACCAAATAAGAATGAGGACAAAGTTGCCACCAGAACATGTGGCAAAGGGCGTTTCCATGATGGGTTTCCCATATCTCTCCACTCATCACTTGGTGGTTCGCCTGAAATCCATGTTAAGGGACACAAGGAGTTGCATAAGTGATGAATAACAACACCACAAGACAGTCTCTTCCTCTTGATTTCAGAAAAATAAACAAAATATGTACTCACCTAAAAATCTAAATATTAACTTAACTTTATACACAGTGACACACTACCATAGTGTAAAATTGGAATTGTTCTATGCACTAAAATGTACAATTGGAATTAATAAAACTAAACTCTATTTTTCACAATATATGAAAAAAAACAAAAACAAGATGTTTTAGAAGAGGAGAGATAACCTACCTGACATTTCTTCTCGATCAAAGCTATTAAGATGATCTTTAGAGGATGCACGCTTGTACATCGAGAAGAGCTCTGTGTGGCGCCCCCGCATAACTCAGTTGTACTGCAGGCATCAAGAATTGAACATAACCAAACATTTTCATCATTAACAAGGACAGACATTTTAGATTCATTCATACTAAATTAGCAATTTATCCAGAAATTTAAGACTAACACACAAACAGATACTTCANGCTTTGCTACTAAAGTTGGATCCACCCGCGGGAGGTGGAAGCTTATCAAAGGCAATATCATGCTGACAGAAGGCGTCCACATTCAAGCGCTCCATCGCATCTAAATCTACATGCACAGTCCGTAGACTCAGATTCGTTCGCATTACCTTCAAATGCTCGGGAATGACGAAAATCTTCAAGGAAAACGCTGTCGGCAAAACTCGATCTGAGCAAATGAATCCTGAAAACAGCGCGATTTTCGCAGATTCAACAGCACGGCCCGGCGAGGTTCGGGGCGGATGGCTCTATCGTGCGCCGCAGGTTTGGGTTTTTCACTCAGCTTTGCATTTACGCTGCTTTTGGGACTCTGTGTTTGTGTTTCTTATGCCATTCGTACGCGACAGAAAGGTGCGGTGAGGAGAGAGGAGAGAGAGAGGCGGGTGGAGTTATTTTTCTATTTTAGAATATTTAAAAAATGATATTTTAACGAGAAAAAGGAAGGACCAAATTTAAGGAAGAAGCATCTAGAGGTGCCACGAGTCAGAAGGAGACACCTGTGTGCTGTTGTTGAGATCATGTGTTCAGGTGTTCCAGGGCTCACCATAGAATTCGTGCACCTCCTATTGTAGTACTAATTTTATGACACGGCCTTAGAGCTTCTCCAATCGAATCCCAAAACACAAAAAATGCAGTAAAAATTGTTCAACCGAATTGCAAACTCAAACTCAAAATAGGTTTTTGCCCATTTTCTCTTTCATCAAAACGCATATATGCATTTTTCCTGTAGCAAACGCATTTTCTTTTTTCATCTATCAAATTAGTCCTTCATTTTGTCAAAATCTATCTTTTGTATTAAATTTCTTTCCTACTCTTATATATTTATGTATAATATAATACGTTGTACATATCCAAATCAAATGGGAAGATAGTTTAATGATTTGGAGCCATGTTTGGATTTTATTCTATATATAAATTACTGTATTTATATTATATTTATAATACTCTATATATAAATAAAATAGGTATCGTATGTTAAAATATTTTTCATAGAAGCACAGTATTCCTAGTTCCAATATTGTCAATTGAATTTTATGTACATATGGATTTTTTTAAACATGCTTAGACTATGATATGGACATTAGTAAACCGATTACTTATTAAATATGTGATGACATTATGACTTATGAGTCACCTAATATTATTAATATATGTATTATAACCTTAAAAAGTTAAAATAAATAAAATAATAATAATAATAAATTACAAAATTACTAAGAGAAATTGCATACTTATTTAAAAAATAATATAAATTGAAATTATATATCTTTCTATTATTCTTAGATAAAAATAAGAAAGGTAAAGTTGTATAACATGTACAAATGTAAAAACATTAAAATAAAATAAAATATCAAAAAATAAAGAAAAAATTTAATGATTATTTATTTATCCAATTTTATTGTGTATAGGATTATAACTTTATAATTAGTTTACTACATAAAGTCCAAATTCATTTGAAAAATAATAATGTGGTTTAATTTGTAAAGTTGAAAAATATGTAAGTAGTTTTGAAAAGTTGTAAAAGTTGATGTAAAAGAGAATATTCCGAGAATATTCTTTTGAGTTGGAGAATGGGTTATTCGGTTGGAGATGAATTACTGCAAAATGGGATAGTTACTGCAAAATGAGTTTGAGTATGGAGTATTTGGTTAGAGATGACCTTAGTATAGGAAAACATATCGTATCTTTTTCTTTTTCCTTTTATTTTGTTTTTGGATAAAAGAAAAAGGTAATTATATGGTGCCCTTTTTGTCTTCGGATTTCCGGCATTGCTATATGTGCCATTTGACTCATTTCTTATTTTCACATTATAATGTTAGCATGTGATCAAACGATAAAAGATCTAAAAAAAAAAATAAGTTTCGATATGAGCAAGGCAGCGTCGAATTAGGCAATTTAGGAATATTAAGTCAATCATTAAAGTTATACCATACATGTCGATAATATCGAATATTAGACATTGATTCGGTACAAATGTACACAAAATGATATCGACAGAGTTATAATGTAAATATTGGGCAAAATCTTGAAAACTATTGGTGAATAAACAAAAAATTACAAATCAAAAAAATAAAGAGAAGCGAATAATTAATTTAAAAGTTATAATTTAAAATAGTAGTGGTTTTTTTATCTTATTGTTAAATTGAGGCTTAGTAAATATAGTTATTTAATGTTTCTACTTTTTAAATTTTGATATTAAATTTTCCATATATACTATTACATTTGTTACTTTTGTAATTCTAGCGGTATTTTCGTTTGGACTGATAATACTATCGACATAACTTAAAAAAAAATAAATTTAATGTGGAAAAAACAGGGTATTTAGAAAATCGGAAGCCCTTGTTTTGTCATCCTCATGATTACCAAGATTTGAATCACCGAGTTGCAAATTCAACCAATTTAACTCGAGTCAAAGTCAATTAAAAATACAATTGTTATATAGTTAGGGATGAAAACGGAAACGGGTAATTTCCGATTACCGAGAATCGTTTTCGAAATTTTTTCGGATTTGGAGGCTAAACGGAAACGGTAACGGTAACCGGAAAAACGAAAATGAAAACGGTAAAAAAATTCGAAAATGAAAACGAAAACGGTTTAGCCCTTTTCCGATCGTTTTCGAAAATTACCGTATTTAAACTGTATTTTACCGTCGGTAATACCGGCCCAACTCATACTAGGCTCACTTTTAATTATAAAGCCCAATCCAAATCCCAAATGGGCCAAATGCCCAAATCCCCTTCAGCCCAACCCTGTGCCCAAATCCTGAAATCCCCTTCACCCCTTTCGGTCTTCACTCTCATGGATTTTAATTTGGATTTTGCCACTATTATGCCGTGAGAATATTTCAATTTATGTTTTAATGCTATATTTTATAATGTGGTGTGTTTATCGTTTTTTAAATACCGTTTTAATATATTTCGATCATTATCGATGTATTTTCGATCGGATAGTTTCGTTTTCGATATTATCGGAATACCGATGTCGTTTTTGTTTCCGACATTATCGTATCATTTTCGTTTTCGAGAAAAAAATATGAAAGTGGAAATGGTTGAGTCCTATGCCGATCGTTCCCGATCGTTTTCATCCCTATATATAGTACACATGAACTAAAGGTACATAGAGTTTTCAATTCTTTCCAAAAAACAGCTGTCAAATTTGTCATGGAGACGATTACGCCTCAATTATACAAAAGAAAAAGGCAGAAAAACCTTAACTATACTCTACAGCTCTTTTTGGTGGTGAACAAATTAGCATTACTTTAGTGTAAGATTACAAACTTTAAAGTTTTCACTACGTTAAACATGCGTATATTTTTCAGGCTAATGAGTTCGTTAAATCATTTTCTAAACGAATCGAGTACCATCATCTTCATGGTCAAATGTCAGTTTTTGCAGTGGGTATTTTGTCAATTCAGTAATGGCGGAAAAAAAATTATTACAGACAACCTTTTTTCCAAATCTCATGCTATGTTTCATTTTGTAAATTGGATATTGAAATCAAATGAATGCATATCAAGTTATATCAACACGCTGAATAGTTACACAAAACTTGTGAGCAAATGTGTCATTTTGAGAATTAATAACACTAGTACAACACCCATGTATTACATGGGTGTCGACGGTGCCTCGTCCCGGACCGTTTATGGACGTGTTCATAAAAGTAAGATGGGTATCCGGACAAGTCAAATCCAGGACCGTCTCGGCCGGCGCCCACCTTTACCATAAATAATCAACATATTATAGATAATCCGAACCTAAATATATTTGGATTAGAAGTAAACTAAATCTACCCAAGCCTAATAACGAAACATATATTTTTGTCACATAGGATCCCGAAGCATGCGAGACTGCCACATAGGTTCAGCACGTTCTCAATTAATATATAAGGGGAGGGGATTTCATTTCACAATAAACAAATGGTAGTGGATCTTTTAGATCCCTGCAGCTAAGCTAAGGAACAAAATTAGCTCCCCAAATTAAATAAAAAAAATAAAAAAATAGTTACCAAAATAATCGACCGAGCTATGCAGCAATATTGAACATTATAGTCCCAAATAATCGACCGAGCTCTTCCAACTTAATAAGAAAATAAAAATGAATGTCAGCACTTGATTAACTAATAGCACAATGAAATACAATAATCAAGTTACGAGAATTGGAAATAACTCCTTGTAGTGTTTATAGTAATATATATAAAAAAAAAAATAGTAATATTATAGCCAAAGGATCAAGAATTGAATGTGTACTGTTCATGACAGAAAAAAAAAGTCCAGTCTTCATTCTTTTCCACCGTTTATGCTAGGCGTGAATTCCAGGTGTATATGAAAATTGAAAATTGAAAGGCAAAGCNTAAGAGATGCAAAATGATAAAATCTCATGCCTTGAGGGCCCACCTCTTAATTAGTACGGGGAAAACCACAACAACAAAAAAAGATTAAAAAATGGAAGGCCTAAACCGATCATTTTAGATGCTTTTGCATTGGGACTAATAAATACACAAGCAAATATTGCAAAAATGCATTTTGGTATACATAAGGAACATTTACAAAATCGCTATTCGTGGAGGACTATTTTGTTAAATATTTATGAAACATATAATACTAAAATCGTAATTTGCTCAAATTTAAACTGCCAATAATACATATATCCAAAAAAATAAAATATAACTAGGAATTTCAAATTGAAAAAACAATATGTCATACATAAAATAAAATGAATTGGTCTTTATTCTCAATTATAAGTCCAAAGATTAAGACTGTTGATTTTACAAAATTTTACTGTAGTAACACTTCTTTCCCCTAGCAAAATAACAATATAGTTTGTGGGCTGGGAATGATTGGGCTGTAACCCTTCTCATTTTGATGCACACTTAATGAGAAGACAGTGTCAAGTTTTTATAAAAAATAAACTACTCATTCATATATGTGCAAATTGCAATAATTTGTGATTTGAACTTAAAACTTTGGTGCAAAATATTTGTCCTTTAAGAATCGAAGACAAAATAACGTCAAAGTAATTCTATTACATTCGAGACCAAACTTTAGATAATGACGACAATGTCATTTTATTAGATTTCTTGAAATGTAGGTATTTTACGATAAGTGCGCTCAACGTTGTTAGAACACAAATAAACAACTAGAATAGCAGAAGCAATAAATCGAAGATTTAAAAACTCTTCAGGGAAGCGTTTCACTTCCCCTCAGAACTCTTTCATTGATAAATCGTTTGTGCACACTTGTATAGTTTTGGAATTACAGCAACTAGAACTCCCTTCTAGCCTAACCAACAACTACACACGATTCTATCAACTGCTTCTCCGGCCACGTCCCGTGGACTTTTACTCTCGAATCCCTCGAGCTAAAACATGTACTTAATCCCTAAGTACTGATCACAAAAGTGTTTGAATGAAAAACAAAAGAATCAGAACAAAAGACTTCAGTTCTTCGATGACGTAAGAACAC